GGCCTAAAAAGTAGCGAAAGTAGGCCAATTTTGTCCTAAAAAGTAGCCAAAGTAGCCCAATTTTGTCCTAAAAAGTAGCGAAAGTAGCCCAATTTTGGCCTAAAAAGTAGCGAAAGTAGCCCAATTTTGGCCTAAAAAGTAGCGAAAGTAGCCCAATTTTGGCCTAAAAAGTAGCGAAAGTAGGCCAGTTTTGTCCTAAAAAGTAGCGAAAGTAGGCCAGTTTTGGCTTAAAAAGTAGCGAAAGTAGCCCAATTTTGGCCTAAAAAGTAGCGAAAGTAGGCCAGTTATGTCCCAAAAAGTAGCGAAAGTAGGCCTGTTTTGTCCTAAAAAGTAGCGAAAGTTGGCCAGTTTTGTCCTAAAAAGTAGCGAAAGTAGGCCAGTTTTGTCCTAAAAAGTAGCGAAAGTAGGCCAGTTTTGGCCTAAAAAGTAGCGAAAGTAGGCCAGTTTTGGCCCAAAAGTAGCAAAAGTAGGCCAGTTTTGGCCCAAAAAGTAGCGAAAGTAGCACAATTTTGGCCTAAAAAGTAGCGAAAGTAGGCCAGTTTTGTCCCAAAAAGTAGCGAAAGTAGGCCAGTTTTGTCCCAAAAAGTAGCGAAAGTAGGCCAGTTTTGTCCTAAAAAGTAGCGAAAGTAGGCCAGTTTTGGCCTAAAAAGTAGCGAAAGTAGGCTAGTTTTGGCCTAAAAAGTAGCAAAAGTAGGACGGTTTTTTGCCTAAAAAGTAGCGAAAGTAGGCCAGTTTTGGCCCAAAAAGTAGCGAAAGTAGCCCAATTTTGCTCAAAAAGTAGCAAAAGTAGGCCAGTTTTGTCCTAAAAAGTAGCGAAAGTAGCCCAATTTTGGCCTAAAAAGTAGCGAAAGTAGCCCAATTTTGGCCTAAAAAGTAGCGAAAGTAGCCCAATTTTGGCGTAAAAAGTAGCGAAAGTAGCCCAATTTTGGCCTAAAAAGTAGCGAAAGTAGCCCAATTTTGGCCTAAAAATTAGCGAAAGTAGCCCAATTTTGGCCTAAAAAGTAGCGAAAGTAGCCCAATTTTGGCCTAAAAAGTAGCAAAAGTAGCCCAATTTTGGCCTAAAAAGTAGCGAAAGTAGGCCAATTTTGGCCTAAAAAGTAGCGAAAGTAGCCCAATTTTGGCCTAAAAAGTAGCGAAAGTAGGCCAATTTTGGCCTAAAAAGTAGCTAAAGTAATCCAGTTTTGGCCTAAAAAGTAGCGAAAGTAGGCCAGTTTTGGCCTGAAAAGTAGCGAAAGTAGGCCAGTTTTGGCCTGAAAAGTAGCGAAAGTAGGCCAGTTTTGGCCCAAAAAGTAGCAAAAGTAGGCCAGTTTTGGCCTAAAAAGTAGCGAAAGTAGCCCAGTTTTGGCCTAAAAAGTAGCGAAAGTAGGCCAGTTTTGTCCTAAAAAGTAGCGAAAGTAGGCCAGTTTTGGCCCAAAAAGTAGCGAAAGTAGGCCAGTTTTGGCCCAAAAAGTAGCGAAAGTAGGCCAGTTTTGGCCTAAAAAAGTAGCGAAAGTAGCCCAATTTTGTTCTAAAAAGTAGCAAAAGTAGCCCAATTTTGGCCTAAAAAGTAGCGAAAGTAGGCCAGTTTTGTCCTAAAAAGTAGCAAAAGTAGGCCAATTTTGTCCTAAAAAGTAGCGAAAGTAGGCCAGTTTTGTCCTAAAAAGTAGCGAAAGTAGGCCAATTTTGGCCTAAAAAGTAGCGAAAGTAGGCCAGTTTTGTCCTAAAAAGTAGCGAAAGTAGCCCAATTTTGTCCTAAAAAGTAGCGAAAGTAGCCCAATTTTGTCCTAAAAAGTAGCGAAAGTAGGTCAGTTTTGTCCTAAAAAGTAGCGAAAGTAGGCCAGTTTTGGCCTAAAAAGTAGCGAAAGTAGGCCAGTTTTGGCCTAAAAAGTAGCGAAAGTAGGCCAGTTTTGGCCTAAAAAGTAGCGAAAGTAGGACAGTTTTGGCCTAAAAAGTAGCGAAAGTAGGCCAGTTTTGGCCCAAAAAGTAGCAAAAGTAGGCCAGTTTTGGCCCAAAAAGTAGCGAAAGTAGCCCAATTTTGCCCAAAAAGTAGCAAAAGTAGGCCAGTTTTGTCCTAAAAAGTAGCAAAAGTAGCCCAGTTTTGGCCTAAAAAGTAGTGAAAGTAGGCCAGTTTTGGCCTAAAAAGTAGCGAAAGTAGGCCAGTTTTGGCATAAAAAGTAGCGAAAGTAGGCCAGTTTTGGCGTAAAAAGTAGCGAAAGTAGGCCAGTTTTGGCCCAAAAAGTAGCGAAAGTAGCCCAATTTTGGCCTAAAAAGTAGCGAAAGTAGGCCAGTTTTGTCCCAAAAAGTAGCGAAAGTAGGCCAGTTTTGTCCCAAAAAGTAGCAAAAGTAGGCCAGTTTTGTCCTAAAAAGTAGCGAAAGTATGCCAGTTTTGTCCTAAAAAGTAGCGAAAGTAGGCCAGTTTTGGCCTAAAAAGTAGCGAAAGTAGGCCAGTTTTGGCCTAAAAAGTAGCGAAAGTAGGACAGTTTTGGCCTAAAAAGTAGCGAAAGTAGGCCAGTTTTGGCCCAAAAAGTAGCAAAAGTAGGCCAGTTTTGGCCCAAAAAGTAGCGAAAGTAGCCCAATTTTGCTCAAAAAGTAGCAAAAGTAGGCCAGTTTTGTCCTAAAAAGTAGCGAAAGTAGGCCAGTTTTGTCCTAAAAAGTAGCGAAAGTAGGCCAGTTTTGGCCTAAAAAGTAGCGAAAGTAGGCCAGTTTTGGCATAAAAAGTAGCGAAAGTAGGCCAGTTTTGGCGTAAAAAGTAGCGAAAGTAGGCCAGTTTTGGCCTAAAAAGTAGCGAAAGTAGGCCAGTTTTGGCCTAAAAAGTAGCGAAAGTAGGCCAATTTTGGCCTAAAAAGTAGCGAAAGTAGGCCAGTTTTGGCCTAAAAAGTAGCGAAAGTAGGCCAGTTTTGGCCTAAAAAGTAGCGAAAGTAGGCCAGTTTTGGCCTAAAAAGTAGCGAAAGTAGGCCAGTTTTGGCCTAAAAGTAGCGAAAGTAGGCCAGTTTTGGCCTAAAAAGTAGCGAAAGTAGGCCAGTTTTGGCCCAAAAAGTAGCGAAAGTAGGCCAGTTTTGCCCTAAAAAGTAGCGAAAGTAGCCCAATTTTGGCCTACAAAGTAGCAAAAGTAGCCCAATTTTGGGCTTCAAAGTAGCGAAAGTAGGCCAGTTTTGGCCTAAAAAGTAGCGAAAGTAGCCCAATTTTGGGCTACAAAGTAGCGAAAGTAGCCCAATTTTGGCCTAAAAAGTAGCGAAAGTAGCCCAATTTTGGGCTACAAAGTAGCGAAAGTAGCCCAATTTAGGGCTACAAAGTAGCAAAAGTAGCCCAATTTGGAGCTACAAAGTAGCGAAAGTAGCCCGATTTTGGCCTAAAAAGTAGCGAAAGTAGCCCAATTTTGGGCTACAAAGTAGCGAAAGTAGCCCAATTTTGGGCTACAAAGTAGCGAAAGTAGCCCAATTTTGGGCTACAAAGTAGTGAAAGTAGCTCAATTTTGGGCTATAAAGTAGCGAAAGTAGCCCGATTTTGGCCTAAAAAGTAGTGAAAGTAGCCCAATTTTGACCTAAAAAGTAGCGAAAGTAGCCAAATTTTGACCTAAAAAGTAGCCCAATTTTGGCCTAAAAAGTAGCAAAAGTAGTTTTTTTTTCTAAAAAGTAGCAAAAGTAGCCCAATTTTGGCCTAAAAAGTAGTGAAAGTAGTCCAATTTTGGCCTAAAAAGTAGCAAAAGTAGCCCTTTTTTCCTAAATAGTAGCGAAAGTAGCCCAATTTTGGCCTAAAAAGTAGCGAAAGTAGCCCAATTTTGGCCTAAAAAGTTAGGTTAGGTTAGGTTAGGTTAGGTCAGGTCAGGTCAGGTCAGGTCAGGTCAGGTCAGGTCAGGTCAGGTCAGGTTAGGTTAGGTTAGGTTAGGTTTGGTCTGGTTTGGTCAGGTCAGGTCAGGTCAGGTCAGGTCAGGTTAGTTTAGGTTAGGTGAGGTGAGGTGAGGTGAGGTGAGGTTAGGTTTAGGTTTAGGGTTAGGGTTAGGGTTAGGTGAGGTGAGGTGAGGTGAGGTGAGGTGAGGTGAGGTGAGGTGAGGTGAGGTGAGGTGAGGTGAGGTGAGGTGAGGTGAGGTGAGGTGAGGTGAGGTGAGGTGAGGTAAGGTAAGGTAAGGTAAGGTAAGGTAAGGTAAGGTAAGGTGAGGTGAGGTGAGGTGAGGTGAGGTGAGGTGAGGTGAGGTGAGGTGAGGTGAGGTGAGGTTGACCAGACCACACACTAGAATTTGAAGGGGCGATCGACTTGAGAATGGTCCAGGACGGACCGAAACGTCGTCGTCCCTTCAAATTCTAGTGTGTGGTCTGGTCAACATACTTCAGCCACGTTATTGTGACTCATCGCCTGCATAGGTTAGGTTGTCCTAACTGCATTGTCCCTCTTACAGTCGTGCATATCCTTGTTGAATGTCCCAACTTCCAGGACAAGTGTGTGTCTTGCTCTCCGTCTGTTCCCAACAGTCACTTTTCCCTTGATTGAATTCTTGGCGAATCGGACACTTTCGATATCGTTCGCCTTATGCGTTTGTTCTCATATTGGCATCCTTAGTGATATTTAGCACCCTTTGATTATTCTGCACATGTGATGGTGCTACATAGCCTTCCTGGCTTGGTGCCTTCTTTGATAATTACTTATGCATCTACTTACGAACCTGTAATCATTTCTTAATCTTTCGCGGCTTTGTTTACATTTTTTAAACAATTTACAAGCATCAAAACTTCCCAAACAAATGTTCTTATTGTTATAAATAGCTTCATAGTGCTTTGGAGCTCAAACTATTTAATTAATAAATGTAAACAAACCAACCAAAGATTGAGGAAAGATGTACAGGTTCATAAGTGGTTGCATAAATGCTTGATGAATCCCTGGCCCAGTTTAGCAATTCATACAAGTACTTATCAAAAGGCAGCACCAAGCCTGGAAAATTATTAGCACTGTTTGTGGCACAGAAATAAAAAAGTACAAGATTCACCGATGAATCGAAGGAACATTTGGACATAAAAGTAAAACAATGATTTGTAGGAATAGTTTAATAAGGCACCCTCAGAGGAATCACACATGTAGGGCTTTAATGTATTATGAGCACTTTAACTTGCCCATCCATACAGTGTCATCCCTTTATAATGGAAAACAATTTGTTTATTCAACTTGGCATACCACAATCATAGCACACAATTCTGGAAACATTCGCTCACACTTACACTCAACCTAATTTTACATTGATATTTATACTGTTGTACATATGTTCATATTTTTACAGGAAATTATTTTCAATATACCTGTACAATCAGTGTACACATCATTACTTACTAAAATTATAGCTAAATTACAAAATTATTTATTAAATAACTAATAACAAGTAGTACTAAAAACCATATTCTGACATTCAAGCAACAATTTTGTTTTCCCTCACATTTCCTGGTATTCCATTATATACTTATGTTGGCTTGTCAATCTTATGAAAAGCATTTGAGCATCTATAAAGAAAACTTGTACATGGCTAAAACCAATTAGATGCAAGTAAACCTCCAAGTACAGTACTGTACTATATTTATCTTAAAATAGATGATTTACTGGGCACACATCTTTCATTAACACATTATACTATGACAATGTCATTTGGTATAGCTGCTGCTTTTAGATCTATTTTAAATGATAGTTTCCCTATATTATACAATTAACTTTGTGGTTAGTAAAAGTGAAGGAAACATTTTGTGAGCAGTGCTCATGGTAGTATTTTTTTCACACCAACTATAGTTTGACATTTTACAAAGCAACACAAGTAAAAAGATCCATCTTGTAAGGTTATTAGTGTTGAGCCTGTAGGCAACAGTAACAGGCCTTCTAATTAATACTGAATTAATTACCTGCCTTTTGACTACTTGTTGATTTTGAGGATCAACATTCCCGTGACTCGGTCTCTGACCAAGCCTCCTGGTTGCTAGTCTGATCAACCAGGCTGTTCAGTGCGGCTGCTCGCAGCCTGACGCACGAGTTGTAGTAATTTTATGGGAATAAATTGTTACAATTATTTAGTTTAGGCTGAAAATTTTAACACCTTAATTACCATTTGCTGTACTTTTGAAGTACAGGATCTAAAAACCAAATCCCTGTATTGTTTCATAATATGCAAGCAGTAAATAATTGTTCATTTATATCAATTTGTCATTTAAGTTTTCCGTTTAATTATTTCAAGATTTCACAGACACAGAATGGTGAAAACCATTCTTAATGGTTAATGATTCACATGGTTAAAATAATGGAGCTTGCCTGAGCAAACATTTTTAATGACTGTGGCTGTAAAATCTTAGTAAATGTGTGTTTTAAATGCTAAATATCCAAATACATTAAGAATATTTACCATGAAATTAGCATAAATAAAACTTAATACACAGTGCTATAAAATAAGTATTCACATGCAAAACTGAATAATAGCAACTTTGCCTTTTAATTAATATTTTAAAGATGCCAAGGATAACATTAAAAAAAAAAAAGTGAGGTACAATATCTGTGATTATTGGGAAATTCCTTAAGTACTTTTATATTAATCAATGCATCTTCAGAAGGACCAAACTTCTGAAGATGTATTGACAAACTCTTCAGGTCAATAACCAGGAAGCCAATAATACTTGACTTAATTGAAGGAAGCAAGCAACAATGCCAGACTTTTGAGGACAGGCATACACAAAGCAACACTGGTAGCACCACTGGAATTTTAATCCTCTTTCATTACTGCCAATAAATTAGTAAGGAAGATCCAACCAGAGCGCACAAGAGTACAGAGTTTTATAATTCAATGGTCACTGAGGAAGCCAGCTGGTGCAAAACTATTGCATACCATTCCGTCTGACCACAAACCCCAAGATGGTCATCGACAGGCTCACAGGGATAGTCCCATATTTAAAAACATTACCTCAAAAGGCTTTAAAATGTATCTTGACTGGATAAACCCTTTCTTTTTGGTGAAAAATGCAGAGGATTTTTTATTCCCATTTCCTAATTATGCCCCAAGATCTCGCCTTGACCCTTTATCTGATCGTTTTGGTCTAGCCCTTAGCTGCCACTATCCTAACTGAACAGATGTGTATCTGGAGTAGTGCATCAACAAGAAGAATTCCAAGATGTGAAGCAGTTAACATTATCAAGAGAAGCCTCATCACAACCCACTGCCCAGCACAAAGAGAACCACAGCTGTACAGACCCAACTACAGTCAAAGCATCCATATAGGGTCACCAATGCATTTCTGAATGTAAGTAAACTGGTTGTATGGAACTACACATGCACTTCAACACTGGCTCAGAAAATCAGTAAATAGATAGGTCTGGCACATTACTACAGCTTCGTTCCAATATGTTCGGAAACCTTAGGCTCAAGGTTTCCGAGCGTATTGGAATTTAAGTTTCCGAGAGTTGGACAATACACTAATCAGGATAACTAAAGACTAGAGCAACAATTGAAAGGGAAAATGCTTGCTCCATCCTGGCCACACATTCAACCCCTGAGGAGCTAGAGATCTTTAAATTGTAACTTTTGTCATGTCCAGTATGTAAGTAAGTTAGGAAATATAATATCCAACTTAACCATTTAAATTAATTACATAAAATGTTACAGGGGTGTGTGCATGTAATTACCGAAATTTAGTTACAGGATAAAAGCTATACTCATGGTGTCCCATTTTCCCAGTACTTGTCATATGACGCTTTGAAAACTACTGATGGTTTAGGTGCGCGCGCGTGATTACCCAAGTACAGTATAGTTACAGGACGAGAGCTACACTCATGGTGTCTCATTTTCCCAGTACACTGTCATAACGGTTTGGAATTACCGACGCTTTTGGCCTCCACCATCTCGCTTAACATTTACAAGTGAAGGAAACATTTTGTGAGCAGTGCTCATGATGGCGCTTTTTTCACATCAATTATAGTTTGACATTTTATGAAGCAACGCATGTGAAAAGAACCATCTTATAAGAGTATTAGTAATAATGTTAAGCCTGCAGGCAACATTAACAGGCCTAATTAGGCCTGTTAATATTGTTCCATCTACCATTTTGTTTGCAAAAGAAAACCAATATTTTTTGGGCACCATTGTTTCCTTAGCTTGAATGTATGATCATTTGTTCGTGAGGATGCCAGTATCAGGAATTCCTCTTTGTCAATTTGATCGATTGCTGTTATTATTTTGTAAGTGGTGGTCATATTACCCTTCTTTTAGTTTTGGCATATTTAATGCCTCTAGCTTCTTTTCATAACTTCTGGATGTCATTTTGAACCATGACTCTGCACTTTTTCCAGTTTATTGATGTGTTTCTTGAGATATGGACACCATACAACTGCTGCATATTCCAATTTTGGTTTCACAAAAGTCATGCACAGTTTCTTTAGTATTTCACCATCAATGTAATCAAAAGCGATTCTGAAGTGAGTATGTGAATGCGTGTGTGCTATTGTGTATGTATTTATGTACAAAATGACTCGCATGAGGCAAGATTCAGGCTCAAAATACATTTACATAAAAGTGAATATAGCTGAAGCTGTTATAAGCCAAGACGATATTACAATTCAAAATTCAAGAATAGTAATTCCTCAGGTTCCCACCACCATATGGATATACCCTATTGAGGAGAGTAATCCTATTTTTTGTTGACATCACTCTAGCCATCAGCAAGCCTATTTCTATATAGTCACTTATACTTATTGACCAGACCCAGTAGTACTTAACTTGATTTACAGAGCAATGCAGACATCTAGAGTGCCATGCCAATGGCTGCAACTACATATCATATAAACTGTACATATTCTGATATATCTCACATACATAAACATTCAGACTACTATGGAATGACAAATGGAATGTTGTAGCTTATAGAGATGTGAAATAATAAATAATTCTCTCAATATTTACTTAAATGAATATTATTTTAATTTTTTAAATACAGTAGTCAAATACAGTATATACAGTAGTTTAAATAATAATAGTCAGAATTTTGCACATAAAACCAAATCTTTGATGATTACCTCAAAAATCAATAGCCAAGATTAAGATATTTAAGGTACAGAACTTTGTGATTTTTTTTAATATTGAGGGATAAAGCTACTTTTTAAATTATATATGCATGAAAATTGAAACTAAAATTAATACCAAACCATAATATTTAAATACAGTACATAAATTCTAAATTATAACACATGTCTATGATAAATTTAAAACTACTTATTGACAATTTAACCCAGAAAATGCTTGTAATTACAAATCATTACATCAATTTTACAGAATGGATACTAGAATATTTTGAAGTGTTTCAATGCTTCACCTTAAAATTTACAAATAAAAAGTAACCATTATATTCAGCAACAGTGACAATGTTAGAATATAGTTTACTTGCATATATAATTAAACTACTGTATATAGCCAATTAGGTTGAAATTTCTATAGAATTCCTCAATTTTAGCTCGCATTGAATCACCCAAGACATCCTGTATTGATGTACTGGACTTCATATTTAAAATTACATTGCCAAACCAGAATTTTGAATAATGCATACTTAGTATAATGTCTGTAGGAGAGATGAAGTGACATGATTAAATGGTAGAATATGCAGGTTATTACAATACAGTACTTCAAAAAACTGGTACCAGGGCTGGCATATAGTAAGAAAATGTACTGTATGTGCTATAAGTCTCTTCCTTATTGATTGCCTGTAGTCAAACTGGAAATGGTTGTAAAGCTGAGAGTTTCCCCTCAAGGTCTCTAAAATTTACAAACATAGGAAAACTAGTAATATTCTGTAATAGATGTACACGTAATTGGGTATATTTTCACATTAAATTTTCAAAAATGCATCTGGATATCCAGAGATTTATTAAAAGTATGCAAATTCTGCACTGTATTTATTACAGAGTTAAAGTTTAGACACTATCTAATTCAGAGGATGTCACAATGCATTCATTTGGGTTTGAGTTGCATTATTTCCTCTATCCATTTGAATTCCCACATAGTGGGAATGGCGGCCTCTATATTTATGCATTAATGATCCATATAATGATTTATCTAAGGAACTACAGCCATAAATAATATTTTCAAGGGTAGATTCAGGGATTTTAGTGCAACATGCTTTATAACCGAGCTGGGAAAAGACGAATATTAAATTTTTATTTTAGTAACGAAATTAAACTTGAAAGTAATCTGAAACTGTAATACAAGGTCCACTTATTTGCTTTCACAGAGTGGTCAGTGCAGTTGGGCCACAGCCAAAAGGGGCAACAGCCTATACTGATGCTCAAAAAGCAATGGTAGGACAGAAAAGGTGGTGATTTTTCGCTCATAGATTAAATTAATAAACCCATGAATTTACCTATCTGTTGAAGCTGTAAATGCTAAAACATTATTGTATTAAAGTTCAAAATTCCCAGGAATGATGGGGAGAAAACATTTGACATGCCATCGACTTTTGTCTCGGTCATCGCTTGGTATTGCTATCATACAGTACTTCAGGAAAAAATAAAAAAATTGCACTACCTATTTTGATTCCGACAATCAACATCCTTGCGGCCCTGTCTCTGACTAGACCTCGTTATTGGTCTGATCAACTAGGCTGTTCAGCGAGGCTGCTTGCAGCCTGTCAAGCATCCTTTGAAGGTGCTTGTGAAGTTCTCTTTTGAACACTGCAAGAGGTTGGCCAGTTATGCCCTTTATGTATTGGGGGAAGTGTGTTGAAAAGTCTTGGGCCATTTATGTTGCATAATGTCCAATTTGAAAATTCACAGAAAATACATCACTATTATAATTCAATTAATATAATACAATATACAGTATAGGACCACCAATGTTATTTAGTATTGCAAGGTTTGAAACTTGTAATACTATATAAAGAAAATAATTAGAAACATTACGATAAGAAATGTCACACCTCACTAACCAGAATTGCCAACTGAACCATACAGTACCATTCAAATAAACAAAATTTGGGTAAATATTTTCTTTTAATGTTCACAAATTTGAGAGGGAACACCTGGTTTAATTTTGTTAATAGAATGTTTTATAAAGGGGCCTCAAGACACAATTTTAATTAGACATAAGGCCTTTAAAATACTGTACAGTACAGTACTGAATAAATTGGAATAGATTAATCCAGACCACTTTAAAAAGTCCCATGTAACACACAAAGGGCAACAACTATAAGGTCCAGATGTCAAATGTAGGACAAAACAGATGATGCATTTTCAATTATAGGATCACTTACCCATTGATGCCATAAATGCTAAGACATTATTTGCTAAATATTGCTGTAAATAATAAACCTCCAAATCATGATTCTTACTTTATGGGTTATTAAGCAACATTTTTGACCTAGTACATTACAATAACTTATTTTACTACTTACCCGGTACATTAATTTTATTTAACTATTAAAATTTAATTTTCGTTTATATTGATTCATTTGCTAAAATGCACAATTATAAACTCCCCATCTATAATTCTCTAATAACTGCCTTCTTTTCTGTGGTATTGAGGTTCCTCTTATCTTTCCCTGATGTATCCATTCAACTCTAGCCAGGTAACAGGGCTTCAACTTGCAAATAATGATATTCTACATGCAAAGAAAAGCCAGTGAAAATGTTGGAGTAATGACAGATCAAACTGCACTCGCACACAATGAAAACATAAGGTCAGTATGTATACCCTCACAGTAGGTCTGGAAGCCACAGAAAAAATTAAACTTGAGAATAATCTGTAGCACAGTACAAGCTTAGTAAAGCATTTTAATGCTTTAAAATGTAAATGTATTATTTCAAATATTTATTTCTTCAGTTTTTGATTAAGAGATGATTAGCAAAAAATTGAAAAAATAAATATGATCAGATGGAAATTACTTCACATAATCTAGATTTTCACCGTACCTTCCCTCCAGAAACTGAATAATTTGTTGACAAACTCAAATTTAGACGGGAGATCCAATGGTCGGAATTTATCCATTGTTTCAAAAACCCAATTTTATGGAGGGCGAGATTTTGGAGGGTGCACTGTACAATAGTAGTTAGTTGGAGTGAGGTTCTATTGTAAAGTCAAGCCAACGGAAAAACAATTGTTCTAAATTTGTTAAGGCCTAGTTAACAATAATTCCAATGAATGCAACGTGTACACTTTATTTCCTCAGAATCTATCCCTGCTATCTATTCCCAAGTTGCTGATGTAGTTCCCAAGCACCAACACATTAAAGAGGCCATAACTTCAGTAACCAGTACTGGAGTCATGAAAAAACTTACAATGTAACTACAGTATTTCTAAGTAATAAATTTCCAGTTTTTTTTTTTTACATACAGAGGGACATATTTATAATACCATTGGTTTTAGTCATAAGCATGCACAGCTTATTACAGTATCGTCAATAATAGCACAAGAATATTTACCCCATTTTAAATAATGTGTACATTTTGTCTATGTACAGTACGAGTGATTTATACAGTGTTAGTATTCAATACGAGAAGAAAAAAATCAGAGTTTTAGAAATGTTCATAAATTATTCCAGTAAAATTCAAACTATTATTGATGTATTAAATAACCTGGCAAAAATATCCGAGGCACACACGACAAGTAGTCGCAACTGGCACAAGTTAATATTTGCTGCACTAATAACACCTTCATTTAGTGTTTAATTTTGTTTCAAGAAAATTGGCTAATAGCCAATCAATCTTTGCTGTGTCAATATAAAATTCATACAACATTTCTACTTACAATACTTCAGAGTTTGGATTTAATAAAGTTCTAAATGCTGTACAGTAAATTATTCTTATTACAGTACAATAGTAACAAATTTAGTTACTAATTCTCGAGTCATAAAACAGTATGTTAAGCTTTCTTCTCCTGCATATGAAATGTTATATAACATTGTTTTATTTTATAGTGCAAATCCATTTTATTTACTATTATGTTCATTTAGAAATTACTATCTTGCATTTTTTACTTTACATTTAAACTACAGTAATTTCAAATAATGGCTTCATGTCTAACCTATATACTTGTACAAAAATATTTTACAAACTGAACCTTCAAAAATTCCATTCACTACAATGTAGTTTTTTCACCTTAAATTTTGTGATTTTTCAATTACTTTTTTTTTTAACAAGTTAATGTATTACAAATGGAAAAGGAAGAAGCTTTTGATCACATCCTTTATAGCTACAGTAGCAGGCTGATAAAGCACTTGCACAGTCATAGCTGAGTTTGATTTAATTGTACATTGAGCCTAGAAAGTTTTTTTTGGTAGCCACAAGATGAAAAAAAGAAAAACATAGTATTGGGCACACAGATATAAACACAATAATGCAGAGAGTAAGTCATAATATCATGGCTGAAAATTAATAACCCAACTCATACACATGAAAAGATAGGAAAGTGACAGCGTTTTTGTCCATCCTGGACCCAAAGTGTCGTAATTCCAATCTTTTCATGTGTATGTTATAATTTATATTCATTGGTACAAAGTAACTGCTGCTAGACAAAAAATAAATATATTGGATGTTTTCAACTACAGTGTAGCTTAAGAAAATACACAAAGAATCTTCACTAAATCAGTCAACATAGCATCCTTTTTTTTTCCACTGTGTTTTTTTTTTCCATTAAAAAAATAGACACAGGCACTTGAAAAATATAAAACAAAGGTACTTTTAACTCAGATATGTCTTCATAGTTTTTTGCTAGGATCGTAATTTTCAAATTTCCATTTTTGTCTGGATTCCGACAAATTGCAGTCCTCCATCACCAACTTCTTCCTGTCTTGAGTAATAGCAAGACATTTCTTACTGCTACCATGCGTTATACGGTTTGTCTGAAATATATAAAGTAATCATGAAGAGAAAACATGTACATGAACAAATCCACAAGTGCCGTGACCCTCGTCACTGCCCTTGTGGATTTGTTTATTTGATGCATCATGCTATTGTGATTTCTGTGTGTAAATATGTACATATTCTGTAACAATTAATTAATCACTATATTATTATTAAATTATCCCCTGCATAGCAGTGGATTCTGCCCCTTCCTACTATCTTCAATATCAGCATACTCCCCTTCAACATCAAGAATTGCCAGCAATACGTTCCAAAATGTATTGTCCAGTCTCTACTCTTCCCCCCCTCCCACCTGCCCTGCCTTCCATGAGAGCTGCCCACCTGCGGCTTGCCCTTTCCCATTTCACCACTTGTTAACGACCATTACTCTGCCGACATCTCGTTCCATACCCCGTTACCTCACCTGTCTGAGGTCACCACCTTGTATATAAGCACTTGCCAGTGGCATGGTCCAGCAGGAACCCTTCTGGTGCCCATTTGACTTGTGTATCTTCCCTCACCTCGACGTTCTTACGACGGGTGACGGTATATGCTCAGAGCATTTTGTATAAAGTGCAGCATTCACCATTATTAATATTAACGTAAAGTAACTTGTATATACATTTCTTTGTGTAAAGCCAAGTGGTTCAGGTTTTTTTGTCATTAATGGTTTATTATTATTTTCTGTACTGTACAATTTAAGTGAATTTTTGTTAAGCTTCATTAAAGTAAAATATTTAAAGTGTTTATTCTCTTGTTCATTTCCCACAACTTACACACCGAGAAGGATTAGCAGTTTTAATTTACATTCTCTTTTTTTTATTATTATTGTGTGTTTGGCACACAACACCTACCAAGATAGTAGCTGTGCTATCACCGAGCACGTCACGGTATATAATAAAATTGAGTGATACATGTAACAATAATGTCACGTGAATCCCCTGCATAGCAGTGGAACTGCCTTTTCCCCTCACCTTCAATGCCTCTGTACTGGAAGTTTACCTCTACACCAGCCCAGATGAGTCATCAGTCCTGCCACCTCTTCGCCTCTCCGTACCCCCAGGACCTGGCACGGCCTGGTATGACTCGGAGGCAAGCAGGGCGCCTCTGCTAACCATTGGTTTGCCCTCACAAACAAGCAGTTAGCCACCTTCAACTAGCAGTGGGGCGCCTCAACACACAGACACTGCCAGCCACAAACCAGCAGAAACACAGGATCCGGCAGCTGAGTGGACAGAACACTGGATGCCTGATCCTGTGGTCCCGGGTTCGATCCCGGGCACTGGCGAAAAACAATGGGGGCAGAGTTTCTTTCACCCTGATGCCCCTGTTACCTAGCAGTAAATAGGTACCTGGGAGTTAGTCAGCTGTCACGAGCTGCTTCCTGGGGGTGGAGGGACAAAAAAAAAAAAAAAAAGCCCCGAAGTCATTTCAAGATAACTTCAAGAATCTCAAGATAGCAGTTTGCTAGTTAACCAGATGTCCACCTTGCATTGACACTGGACGAGTCATCACCGCCAGACTATATAAAGGGCGCCGCCTCCCTGGAGAGCCAGTCTCTCAGTGCTCTTGGATCACCTTGGTGTCTCGCCCGTCATCTGCCTTCGGCCTACACCGTGTGTCTGATGCCGTGGTGGTATGGTAGCCGTCTTCAGTACACCAGTATATCTTCATGCATTGTATTCACTGACTTTCTTACAGCTTATTTTTGTATTAATTTTCATATTATCTTGTCAACCTTTGCATTATATGATTGCCAAGTGTTCTCAGGTGCCATTTTTGTTCATTAATATTTCAGTAAATTGTTTTAATTATTTATTTGATGATTTTCACTTGTTTCTACCAGTGACTTCCACACTGCAAGGGCCAATAGCAGCATTTTTTTTTTATTTATGTGATGGAGAGCCATATTATCTTGGTTCAGTATAGCTGCGATACCACAACCCATCACAATAATATATTAAATATCCCAATATGATTTGCTAAATGTCTAAGAATTCAAATATATTAGCTTCTCGCTTAGTACAGTACTCTTACCCCATTAAACTACAATATTTTTTTAATGTCCAAAATGCTTTTTATATATATGGCTTTATTTAATATATAAATTTACTTAATACATGTTGTCGCACCAGGTGAATGACTGCAGAGCTGCCTTGGCTGTTCCAGAAGTGCCTGGTGCTGCCATCTGGAGTCGAGCAATTGCTACTAGTGGATGATTACCCTAATTGGGAGTCTCATCTTGAGAGTTGTTTAAATTTGCCTTGTCCATTTTGTTTCACTTCTTTTCCGATGGCTTATTTCTCGGTTAAAGTGATCATGAATCCCCTGCTGTGTGAGCCTTAGTGAGGGAGTCAGGTTCTGGCCTCTGGTCCCCAGCAGGTTTTTAATGACTCTTAAGGACCTGATCAGATTTAAGGGTCCCGGTAGTACAGTCGGATTCGTTTTCGACGCACAATATAGAATTCCGGGTTCGAATCCCAGGCAGGACAAAAATGATTGGGCACATTTCCTTTCACATAATGTTTCCGTTTACCTAGCAGTAAGTAGGTACTCAGGAGTTAGTCAGCTTCTTGTAGGGTTGCATCCTGGACAGGGGTTAGTAATTCAGCCTTGGAAGGGGGGGGGCCTCGATAAAAGCCTAAATTGTAGGAATACACACTGGCTACCTTTACCATGACAGTGAATTATAATTATACAACTTGAAATATGTATGTATAAGTAACCAGACGGTTAACAGCAGGGAACCACCATGGACCAACCAGAATGCAGCATTTCATTACATTAAAGGCTGCTTTTTTAAATTGCATAATTATATATTTAATATAATTATTGCAATTAAATTTATTAGTTAAAATTCTGTTAAACATAATAAATCTTGATTCTACACGAGTGATACTACATAACCCGATGCAAGAGAGTAAAATAACTGAAAGTTTATTGAAACTATGTGGTAAAATCCAATTCTACACATTTGACACTTAAAATATTTGAATACTCTAAGCTTTGAATAAACTTACATTGTACTAATAAAAATATAAAAACTAGCAAGTACGTAAAGGAATCCACTTGGGAGGCAGAAGAAATGGTGCTGTATGGTGGTTATGTCATGTTTGGGTCTGGTCTTCCTTCATTTCTTTTATATTACTATTAAACTTCATTTCATTTTACCAAGTTCAATTACAATCGACAATCGACTTGAGAATGGTCCAGGACGGACCGAAACGTCGTCGTCCCTTCAATTTCTAGTGTGTGGTCTGGTCAACAAGTTTAATTAGTTTAAGGAACAGTAAATATATAATTCATTGTGTTTTTACTTATTACACGAGGTAGTTATATTTATTGTCATGCATCTAATTTTTCCAGAATGCATCCTTTTTTTATCATAAGGTTCTTATCTTAAGAGTCATTTTACAGTGTCCCATCTTACATGGTGTCTCAAGGAATCCATTTTCTTGCAAAACTTGGCCTTGTAATTATTTGCTACAAGTTGAGAAATAGTTACACATACTTTTCATTACAATACCGTATCCAGATTCTGAAACGGTTTGATGGAATTTGTTCCCATACACTATGTTAATAAAGCAACCTAATAGAACAAAAAGCATTACCTACCTCTGGATTGTACTCCCAGTATTGATTGCCCTTGGAACCATGACAAGGGTATAGGATGACATCTGTTCCAGCATAATCCATGCATGCTTCATCTCTCCTTATTTCTCCTTCTTTGCTCAGCATCCAGTACTAACAATATAATTGTGTGTTAGAGGATTCAAATTATCTCAAAGCTCAACAAAGGAGAAAAAGTATCTAAATTATGCAATAAAATTGTTAAAATTTAACAGTAAAACTGCATGTAACATTTATGGTTTGGTTTAAATAATTAGAAAATTGTTAATCTAATATTCATTACTATTATTTGAACATTTAATATATTATGAAAGTAAAATATTTGTGACTTGGGTTAAAATACTGTACAGTAAATGCACCTAAAACTTTTCTGTGTACTTCAGTGTCAACAATGTAATAATTATAGTTAATGCATCAAAACATTCTTATAAATTTTAGCAGAGAAGTCCATTACAAATATCAATTGGAATCTTGCGCACGATCTGTGACAATTGACCTATGAGAGGGCAAGAAATGTCAGCAGTTTAGGAGTGCCTGTACCAAATTCACTTCCTCCTCAGGAAACAAACAGGAAATAAAAGGGCAAGATCATCAACAGTGAGAATGACCAAGAGTACACCTGGAAATGTCCCAACATAGAAAATCTACTGGCAAGATGGGCCATGAAGTCTGACAGTATATCCTGTGTAAGCGATGTGAACCTCGTCAAAGCCTTGGTGGCTGAAAAAATATTTATCAAGGCTAGTGAAGAATCTATGCACAGGAAAGAAAACTCGAACTGTTAATTAACAGTAAATTGCTCCCAGGTAGGACAATCCCCAAATAACAAAGAATTGAGGGACCTTTAGAGAAGTCCCTGGCTTCCTAGCTTTATCAAAGCCACTAAAAGTGGCTCATGGGCTCAAGTGGTTCAGCCACTAATAGCTCATGGGTAAATTTAGGAACGCTAGGTCCAGATCTTTAAAATTAACTAAAGCTGGAGACAAGGGGAAAATTGGACACCAACATCCAGGAATAAGGCAGGCTGTTCAAGAAGTCTAATGAATGACTTTCCTGAAAGATAAACACTAACAATGTGGGAACACCCATTCTTTCTGTGACCAGCACACAAAAAAAAAAGTTGCCTGCTGGCCAATCAGAAGCAGGAACTTGACAATGCAACCAGAAAGTGACTGGGGATTAAACCTCCAACCAAGAAGGATCCGGATCAGATGTATGGTCCCTGTCCCATTGCATGAACAACAAATTCTGCATAGCCCTTGCAGTTGGTAAGCAAAACTGAGAAAACCCGCAGAAAACAGGCACATCTACCACTTGTGCAGGACAATTCCCCAAGCAAAAGGAACATATCCAAGAGTGTACAACAAAGCAGGAGGGTCACAGATGAAGTAAACCAGAAGAATTAGAGTGACAGTTTGGGTGAAAAATTCTCTCACTGGTTCCAATTGAGATGCACAACATCTAATATAAATGCCTCTGTTGTGGAATAGAGGCACAAATAGTTCTGTGACCACATCCCACACTTTTTTGTGGGGTGAAACTGGAGGACACCAGCCATGAGTACTCTCAACATACCCCAAATATGAACCACATGGAATGTTAAATCCAGATAATCCAGAACATAGATTCTGGCCAGAGTCCAGCACCACATCAGGAGAGATTGAGAAGTACAGTATCTCCTTTTTTGCAAGGTCTGAATGCACATCCTTGCAGGAGAGAGATGTAGCAAAGCATCTTTCAAACTGCTACTTGTTCCTGATGTTGATGTAGGTGCACAGCAGCGTTAGATACCAACACCCCACATCTGGCTTGTCAAACACTGAAAGCAAAGCTTCACCTAATATATAACTCAACAGCAAACAGCTCAAGTGATGGAACCCCTGGAATCGAACCTCCAAAAGCCAGAGGAGAAAAGCACTGTAGTAGTAGAGCCATCAAGGTCATCAAGGCTTACAATGATGCGTTCCATGAGCTGGCATTCAATGAGCTGGCATTCATGGAAAATAGTATGAGGCCATCAGTCACATCTAGCCCAGGGAGGGTATAAACTGCAGGTAAAGAAAGCATACAAGATCATCCTGAAATGAGAATAGACTACCAATGACTGAGCCTAAATACGAAGCAAGCCAACTTAATGCAGTATCTGAGAGGGAGGCACTGACTGTGTCCTACCAACCACAACCAATGACAGCACTGTACACCAGAGTTGGGACTTTGGTATGTTCACCATAAACCCAAATTAGCCCAGAATCTGCACCACTGAATCTCTGGCTAACAAGACAAGACAAGATTGGCAACTGGAAGCTTAAACAACCAATTGTCAAGATGAGTAAAACATGGAACCCCAGACAAGTCTGGTAAACATCCTGGGGATCAGGTGCCTGAAAAGAAGAGCTCGAAAGTAGTAAGAGGTGTGTATCAGCCAATTATTGAACCTTGGATGGAAATGGTCCATCCAAATGGCCCCGATATCCTAACAGATATCCAAGAGGTCCAAAGATACAAGTTAAGAGGTGTCGGGCTCATAGCAAACTACAGAGACTGTAGTTATCCAGAATGTTGGACAAGGGATATGAAAACTGACCCATACCAAGTCAAGAATTGACCGGGTCTTGTGGGGTGTGTGTGTCTGCACCATCTGGAACTCTTTGATATGACCTGCAAGGATTGGATCATAGACACCACACCCCTAGATGTGGGCACACAATAGTGTGGTAGAAAATTGTACAAGACCCAGGGACACTCCAAGAGCAGCGGGAGTCAAATCCCACAAGAAACTATCGGCAACAATCTGAAATTGTTATACACAAGCATACCTTGTCCAAGCCCTTCAAAGCCTTCTAGGAGGAGGAAAATTGGGATGATCTGAACAAACATGGGCAATCAACACACTAGCACCAGTATATCATCCAGAATACCAAGTTCCCTAGGGCTAACCATGCCCCAGTGGAAAGTGGGTGGGGGTGGATTTCAACCAAAACACCAAGTGGTTGGAATGCTGCACGTGTGGAATCCAAAACCTGATTCACATCAAGGAAAAGGAGGGAAGAGAAGGGAGAGGACATTAGTAACATGAGCAGCCAAGCAGATTCCTGGAAATGATGCAAAGCCTGCAGAAATGCACCAACAATGAAGCCAAGAAGAAATCCTGAAGCTGCCAAAACCTTAAGTACAAAGATAGGGCAGGATCACAGAAAGCCTCTTTGACAAAGTAAAACGATTCCAGTACACAAACATTAAACATGCACAAAATCTCCTTGTACAAGTAACAAAAGGGGAGGTCAGAACCTGATGCCAGCCAAGAGGCGGCCAGACTTCCGAGATGACAAACTCAAAAGAGAAGTGGTTCCAATCGAGATATGCGGTTCTCTTCTCAAAGCAGGAGCAAGAAACTTTGCCGTGTCCATCTTTAAGGCAGGTGGAACTTTGGTTACAAGTATGATTTTTCTCTCCCCATAGGAGGATAGAATGCACTCAAGGAGGTATTGGGATAATCAGTGACCAAGAGGGATCAAAGGCATCATAATGGATACCATTTGCCTCCAATGAGGAAGGAGGATCATTCTCCAATCTAGTAACTGTATCCCAACATGAAGCAGTAAGAAAAGCCTGAACATTAGCAAATTAGATATACTCCTTCTCACTGTCTCCTACGGGGAAAAAAAAAAAAAAGTTCAGCCGAGGTTACCTAGCCCCAAATTTAAAGTCTGGAACAAACCTCATTGGAGGTTTGAATTGAAACCTCTGAAACACCAACTACCAGTGAAACCCCTGCTAGCTCCTTTACAGTTAAGGGTGGAAGTTGTTTAGTAACTGCAGCAAGTGGAGGGGGCTGGAATGCCTGGGACAAAAAGGAGCGTAAGCTGCAATCTTTAGGGAACCAGGAAGGAACTCAATAATGCAGTACTGGCTTTATACTTCATGTTTGTGTTTGATATACAACAAGATGAGGTTACTGGGTGTTTGTGCGGCTCAAAAATAACTCCATTGCAAGCATTTTGGGGAGTTCATATTTCAGTGGCTCAAAACCACCAGAAACATTTTTAAGTGAAGACAATCAAACACTAATAATAAAGCTTTACACGAGAACACAGTCATTTAGGGAAAGAGCAAATAAATATTGTAAGAAATTGCAAATCACTTTACTGTACTGTACTGTTAATTATAAAATACCCGAAGTTTTTTGCAGTAAATAAAAAATCTGTTCTAAGTACAGTACATAAAATGTTTATCAAAGAAAATGAAGATCTATATGTATAAAACAAGTCACTTATATACTGTGAAGTGTATAGTGATATAAGTAAATAAGTAATTATCAAAAAATCACAGTATATAAACTGCAGTACAGTATTTAAATTCCTCTGAATTATCCATTGTTGTAACACGAAAGTACACTCTAGCTTACAATTCCAGTATTAAATATACTTCTGTATTATAGCTGCAACTGTAATATAAATCAAAGAATGTAACTAATAATAAATATCTGACCTAGATGGTGCTTGATTAAAATGCTCTGCCTCATAGATTAATGATGGGGTATACAATAAACTGGCAACTGCTGGCAGCAACAGTCAGAACAATCAACAAGGTTACATTGAAGACTTGATTTTTGGCTTACCTCTAATAAATAAGCAAAAAAAAGTTCCTTTTCCAAATTAGGCCATATTTTTCTTTTAAAGTTAGTTATTTGGTGGTACAGTATACCTTAATTAATGCTACTGTACTGGCTTAACTCACTTGAAAATTAATTTTTTTTAAGCAACTTGATAAAAATATACACATGATATATTAGTAACAAAGTTTGTACATCATATACATGAAAGAAACAACGTACTTAGCTTTCAAAGAAAGTGATGAATCTGGTGACAACAATCAAGTTAGAATCACTTACCTGATTGCCACCCTGACCATGGCATGGCCACAGTCCCACTGGTTTGTGATTATCCTCAGGTTTGGCAGCCGAATCCACACACTGACCGGTCATCAGGTTGTGTATCTGTTGCACATAGACAACACTAACTACTACTGCCACAATAACCATGCAACTGGCAGGGTTCAGTATGGCTGAAGTTAGGGAGGGAATTTATCAAAAGTACAGCATCATAACTGTATTCGCAGTGCTCAGTATGGCAGAAGTTAGGAAGGATTCTATCCATGGAACAGTCATGTTACTGTAGTGGTAGTGCACAGTATTGGCAGAAGTTAGGAGGGGGATTTAACAATGTACAGCATCATTACTGCCCACATTCAAGGACAAATGCTGCTACTTTTGTATATTAAAACAAACAGCTTAAAGCACCCATAAGCATCATATAGTAGTAGAAGAAAAACCCACAGGTGGAGTTGTGGATGCGGCATTAAGAATGTTAAATTATCAAGCTGACATTAAGAAAATGTTAATTAAACAAGCAGATACACAAATGTAACTTAAGAGCAATAACACACTTAAAATGAACTATGCTGGCAAGATTTAAGACTACAGTACTGTACTACCATGAGTACAACATATAAAGTCGTGTGCTTTCATATAATTACACTATTATCCTAGTCAAATTAGTATTGCGTGATTTGCAGAGATTCAAGTAAATATTTTCCTGTTTGCATTGTCATTAGATGAACAACTTAATGTATTTTAAACTACAAAATACCTTGATCCTAACAACTGTAAAGATGGGAAATCCGAGATTCAATGAATAACTATGTGGTATATTATGGTAAATAGTTTAACTGTAAATATGAAACGTTTCAGCGCAAGACTGAATAAAGGCAGACTAATGTTAAAAAATTCAAGGAACAGGAGAGATTCTATTTTTTGAGACAAAGAGAATGTGATAAGTGTACTTGGGCCTCTTTTTCAAGTGAAAATGAAAATATTACCATCTAGCACAAAATAAAACAAGAATCAAGTGGCTAATGATAAGCAAAACAGTGTTGCTCTCTAGGACAAGAAAGTACCTCTCTGGTTCTATCATAAACAGTCAGAGGCAGGTCAAGTTCATACTGACACAGCAGAAGTGGCTTCAAAATAATATTGTTGGGTCATACAGTTGTTAGGGAGAAACTCGTAAATACTGTACAGTATTCAATCTAGTCTGGAATACTCAAAGTTCATTCAGAGACAGCTAAATCCCTATTTGGTATTGCACTCTTACCAATTGTTAGTTTGCTTATCTACACACTACACCAGGCAATCTCTGCTTACAGGAAAATAAGGGACATACAAGAGGCAATGAGCAATCAAGTGCACTTTGCAGGAAGATGCTGTTTAGTCATACAAAAACTTGTTTCCGAGCTATTCCATTCAGTTGTTCCAAAAAGAAACCATATTATTGTAATAAAAAATTAATAAAATAACTGCAAAGGGGCAAAAAACAACAAATTCAGCCTATTCTTATGGTTTGCCAATCATCAAATGTGAGGTGGTTTTTGCCTAACCATAAATGTTTGATACTAAGCAGCCCACCCAACCTACTGATATTGTGGCTGAGATGGTAAACAACTATTTTAATCAAGTGTGAGGACAGGTTGAAAATTCTTCTGTCCTGTACAATGATGCCCCAAAAGCAGCTTCAGGGGGCCAGAGGAGTCTAATGGCCCAGCAGGATGCACCTGAAGGTACCAAGAACCACTGCCAGAGGAGGAGATGGTCAATTGAACAACAACTAACCAAGGCAATTTACTGGCAGCACAGACAGGGAATTCTAGGGAGTTTTCTAAATACATGTGTAGTTGGACATTCAAAAGTCAAATGTTGGAGGACATCACAGAATTGTAAACTTCTACATGTTGTGGTCACAATAGCCGAAATGTACGAACCATAGTACAAGGCACCACGATGAGTACAAGGTTCTGGGGGGGGGGGGGTAGGCATAAAACGTGGCCAAATACAGGAAATTCAAAATCTTACAGAGTGACCAGGCAGACACTAATGGTGAAGGGATGGATAGATATTTAAGAATGCCTTCTACTGAACACACAGCTGTTGTGGATTGTGTTGAGGACTAAAACTCAAGAAGCCACAAGAGAAGTTACGGCCAATGCTTGCTATCACAATGAGAATTGCCTGTTGGATCTCATCTGGTTGAAACAAACTACCACCTGCACACTGCCTAAGTATATCCAAAATGTCTGATATTCTCAGCAATATCTAGCAAGTCTGTTTTCTTTCTGCTTATTATGTCATCTTTCACTTTCTTTTTACAAAAAAGCAGCTCATGCTTGTAAGCGAGGATCATGCTTCTCTTCGTCAGTCCTGCTTTACCTCCTTTGGTCATGGAGAACACACAAATGTGTGTTCATCCTAAATGTATCTGTTTGGTACAAAATTCATCTTTTTTCAGGAGTGCAAACTTTATGCAAGCATAGATTTGTTTAGGCCTTTATCCATTTCGCTCTGTCGTCCAAATGCGACCTCATGCCAGTATCTCCTAGTTTCTTGACAGTCCATCTGAGGATCCATCTTAAACTCAATAACCATGATGCCCTGTACTGAGGTCTGCATATCCAAGCTACTTTGCAGAGTGGTTAAGTTGAGGCAGCAACAGGAATACCCCTCCAGTGCTAATAACATGCAGAAGACTGCCATGTAGAAGGCAATGCTAACATCCAGATGACCATCTGATAGTCTGACAGGAATGCTGGGTGGATTTACGTGCAACTTCCAGGCCTGCTGAATGTTTCCTTCCTTTGCGGCATTTTCAGAACCCTTCTGCAACATGAGTGAATTTTTGCCTCGAGTTTTAGCATTTTCTCTTCGATCTTCATGAGATTTCTTTGCAGTAAAGACCAACAGAGTAGAGCTTTGAGTGGCTGAGTGCATCCTTTGAACAGTACACTCTGTTCCTTCCATTTCCTCACGAGTATTCTGTATTACTCAATACGTAGAACTTGATTTAGTATCAGAACGAATTTGAAGTCTGAGGTCAAAGTACCCTGTGGTGTTGGTGCTACTCCTTGGTAGCAGTCTGGTTATTGGCCATGCAAGCTTACTGCCAATTAGCAAGAGTGACTGACTTTATGCACCAAGTATTTTTAAGAAAGAAGATTGATTCATAGTCAAAGCCCTAAAAGATCATCACACACTGAACTTTATATTTATCTAAAGCTAGTATGACCCAGTAAAGATGGTTTGAAATCTCTGTTTCACCAATGTGGAATATCTACCCATCTTTACTATGATCCTTTCTAATGAAATCAAAGGACGGAGTTTGCCTTAGGGAGTTGCAGAGAGGGACCTCAGACACGTAATACAGTACTGTACTGAATATACTACTACACATATGCTGTAGAAGCATGCATACGAAAATTTAAACAGCTACTTAAGTATTATACAGGTAAGTAATATGTACAGATCTAAATGTGTAGACCAATTCAATCTACACTCTGGAAAGAGTTTGGTATAATGCAGGAGCAAATTAAGATTAAAGTTAAATAGCTATGACATGCAAAGCTCAGAACCAAACACCAGCAAAGCAATGAAACACATGCAAACCTTCCAGTGTTGTCTGCCATCATCTCATGTCCTTGCTCCTTGTGGCTTGGTCTCTATGGTATCCTCTGACCACTAGCAGTCTTCGAGGAGGGGGACTAAGAACTACAATATATCTACTGCACGGCTAATGAATTGCTCTATTGTGGCTAGGTTACCTGATTACCCCCTTGCTTGTGGCAAGGGTAGAGGCCCACAGCTTTGTGCAAGTTAGCCCTGCGTGCAGGTGAGTCGAGGCAGGTAGACCCGCCCGCGCCCAAGTTGCGGACCTGTTAGCATGAAGGACATAGCCCATGGGCGGTCTTTAATCCCCACTACTCTATAATCCCTTGATATTGTTTATGATATGAAATTTCGTTTATATTTAATATCCAAGTAAAAGGGCTTTACATTTTTTTATGGTTTAAAAATACTTCTATCTTTGGGAATACAATACTTTGAGAGATGAAGGTTGGTCATGGTGTAATAGTGAGAACATCAAAGTCAAAAGTGATATAGGTGCACACAAACAAAATTGCTCAACAAAAAAAGTGAATGCAGAGTGAAAAAAAACTTTAACCACAATCACCTAATCAAGTGGGATTACTTGACTGTCATTGCAGAACTGTGACTAAAAACTGATAAGCATGATCAAGTATATAATTAAGCTTTTTCCATAATACTTACTGATTACATTACCATTGTATCAAGCTGGCAAATTATTATACATCCTATTAAATGTACACATGAGGTGTATATGCTATTGGTTTGCTAAGATTGTCCTAGCAGAGTGGTAGTTACTAGTTAACCTATTACTGGAGTTGATAATTAAAGGTCAGCTAGAAACAAAAATTACTCAAAGCTAGAACCCAACAGTCTAATCACAGCTATAGTACCCAATAATCAACTCTCAGCTAGCACCCAATAATCTACTTACAGTTAGTAACTAATAATCTACAAGTAGATGCACAAAAAAGTACTGCAAAAGTATAATGTACAAGTAATGTCAGTATTGTACTGATGGTGCCATTCTTTGGCCCTATACACAATACATATGACTATATGTGATCTGCACAACTTCAGTTTGTGTAAATTTCTTCAGTTTATTCTTTGTATTTGAATTTGTTTCAGCTGTCATCTTTACACATCCTCACTTATTAAGTACATCCATAATACATGCTCACTTCAGAACATCCATACTGAGGTGGTGGTGGGTGCTAAAATATTTTAGTGTTTCAAAGCATCATGTGACAAAGTACTAGGAAGACGAGACATTACAATAATAGTTCTCATCCTATAACTACACATGGGGTAACTACACACAGACAAGCATTTGAACACATGTTTGCTATACATATGCAGTCATAAATGTATGCATGTATAATCACATATGCATGCTGTACATGTAAAAGTGTACTTTCAATCTGAAAATACACACTTTCAGGCATGTATGCAAATACATCAATGTGTGAATCATTGGTAGTGTCTCAGAAAAGAGTTTGCTTCATTCTCAACTTGCAATCTAGGATCCTGAGTTCAATTCATGGGCAGGACAACAATGGTTGTGCACCTTTCCTTTCACCTAATGCCTCTGTTCACCTAGCAGTAAATAGACTCCCTGGAGTTAGGTAACTGTTGTGAAGTTGCATCCTGGAGATGGTCAGTACTTTGTCCTTAGATGGACTTCGATATAAGCCGAAAATATATACATACAGTATATTTCCTGTCCACGACAAAACGAATAATTTACTGAATTCGTTTCAATTTTTGTTCTAGAATTTTGTACTATATATAACACACACACACTCAATTTGGGTCATTTATATAAATTTATAAATACTGTACTATATAAATTTATTTATGACAAAAGAACATGGAAACTGCATTACAGCTGACCTAAAAATCCCCTCTAATGCATTGTGTATGCTTTTCACCAAGGCCAAGGATCCCCTTCCAGCCAGAGGTGGTTCTCCCTTTCCCAGTTTATAAATATATCTAAATTTAATATATATAGTATAAACATTTAGGGTTCAGGTAGAATATTGGGGTTCGTTCTCGACTCGATCAAGAATTCGGTGTTTGAATCCCAAAAATGGTTGGGTGCAGACGTATACGTAAGAATGAACCACCATCACAGCATTTCTGCCTCGCCTGTAGAACTACCGGTAGCAAAAACAGCAGTAACAGGCAAAGGCTGGCTCCTCCATTACTCCAGTATACGTCTTTACGTCTGTTTTCAAAAAGAGAATTTTAATTTTTGTTGGCACCTTTGTTTCATAAGCTTGAATCTACGACTTTTTTTTCGTGAAGATGTAGGTTTCAAAAAGTCATCTGTGTTAATTCCTGCTACTATTTTGTACACTGTGATAATATCACCTCATTCTTCTATCTGATATCTTTAATACTTTCTTCTTCATAGCTCTTGTTTTTTTTTAGTTACGTTAGTCATTTAGTGGCATGTCTTTGTACCTTTTTCAGTTTAATGATGCGCTTCTTGATAGATGGGCACCATACAACCACTGCATATTTAAATTTTGGTTCTGTATTTAATATTTTGCCATCCTCGCCCACAGGAAGGGTATGGGGGTGCACGATACGTGAACTAAATTAAACTAACATTTATTTAAATGCAATTCTGAAGCTGGGAAGTGTAGTGTATAAAAATGTTCCTCATGTGGTCTTCAGGCGATAATTTTCTATCCAGGACCACCACTAGTTCTCTATCAGAGTTTTTTAAAGTTTGCCACAATTTTTATGTTGTGTGGCCTATTTTCTCTTATTCCACATTCCCATAACATGGTATTTATTGACATTAAACTCCATTAGCCAATTGTTGCTCCAGACATTTATTTCGTCCAAGTTACTTTTAAGGGCATGGCAATTATCCAAGTTTCACAGCTTTTCTAATAGCTGAGCTGCATCAGCAAACATGTTCATATAACTATTTCTTCTGGTAGATCATTCATATAATGAACATTACTGTGCTTGAACTGTACCATGAGGTACACAACTTAACATTTCTCCATTATGACTTTCTGATTACCGCCCCTCATTTTTCTATTGGCTACGAAAATATTCTTCAGTGTCAGATGTGTCCCTATATAGGGCGTTCTCCAGAGTGTTCCCAAGAATACTAGGCTGTCACACTAAATTGCCTGAGCCTAATCTACTCAAAGACTCGCAAGCCGAAATCGGAACATTACGACAATTTCGTAAGACTTCACTTTTTTTAGTACACTAGTTTTTGGCCTTGGGCAAATTAACTGGTACGTCAAAATGAAATGTTTGCAAAAATGCAATTCAGGAGAATGGGTTACCCCCGTCACCTCCACCAGTGTATTGCCATTTCCTGAACAACCTCTAATGTGGGACTCTAAAAAGCCTTTTTTAATTCCAAATAAATGCAGTCAATCCAACCATCTTTTTCCTAAAAAACCTCCGATTCATTCATAGAAATTAAGTAAATGTTACACAGAATGTTCCCATTTGAAAACCATACTGTGTTATTACTGTACATCATTTCCCCTCCATGTGTTCTACCTATTTGGTTTTAATCAGTTTTCTAGTGTTTTGACTATCATGCTTGTCAATAATAAAAGTATATAATTAAGAGGGTCTTCCCTGCTACCATTCTTGCAGACAAACTATATCAGTCTTTTTCCATATACTGTATCTGCTCAGAATACAGAAAGATTACACAAAGTACACAAAGATTACAGAACAAATTAATTAAAACTAGGTGCTCAGCACAGATGCGCATTCTCTCAGAACCCAAGGTGAAACTCCATCTGGGCCCACTGCCGTGTTTTTACCTAGCTCTTTGAGCATTTTTCCACTTTGTCTTGAGACACCTATGTACTCTATGGTATTTTCTGAAATTTGCATTGTGTCTGGTTCTCTGAAAACTTAATTTCTAACAAACATACCTTGGAACTGTTCATTTACTATTGCACACACTTCATTTTCATTCTCTGTGAATCTGTCCCCCCCCCCCTTAAAATCTATGGATTTTATCCTTTACATGCATTCGCAATCCTTTTCTCGGTTTCTTTCTGCCTGTTCTCACTACCATCTCACCGTTTCTTGCTTCTTTGTATTGTTGGTACATTTGAGGGTTAGGCATCTTCCCATACCAATTCCAAGTTTGTCTTTTGTTCTTTGGACTTCTTGCAATTTATATTGAACCAATTTTGCTTTCTAGTTCTGCACCTCTGATTTGCTATAAATTTTGTTGTACCTTCATCAATTCTCACAAAATTGGGCATACAGTATATCCGATTTATTTTGTAGTTTAACAACAAATTTTGCCAATCAAATTCATTAAAGAACTTGCCAAGTTCCCCCCATAGTGTCCTCTCCTGAAATCAAGTTTTTCAACCGTTTCATTTGAAGCTGTTGAAAAAACTTGCTCATTCTTTTTTTAGATTATAACATTTCACATTTTATTTCCAAAAGGACATGGTCACTCTTACTAAAGGGGCTCCCTTCCTTCCTCGGGTATGTCAAATATTTCTTCTTTCCTGGTGAATTTCAAATCTAGCATTAATGGAACATCCTCTTAGCCTGTTTGAATGTTTCCAAGGTGAGGTTAACGAATCTGTCAGTCAAAATGTCCTTTGTTCTTGCTTCATGGGCTCCCCAGTCAATTGATTTAAAAGTTGAAATAACCAAGTACCAACAATCATAATTTATCTATCTGCTCTTACAGTAATCTCTCTTGATCATTATGGAGGTCCTCTAGTTTGTCGTCCAGCTCCTCCTTTGTCCATGTGTTGCTTGCTGGTGGACTGTAGCTAGGCATTTAGAATTATCAGTTTATCATCCTGACTGCAAATCTCCAGAGCCAATATGTCAAGTTCTCGTGGGTTGTTGATTATTAATTCTCATACCTTTAGGTGTTTTTTTTCATCAGCATGGCAACTCTTTCACCTTTTCAGTTTTTTCTGTCCCATCCCCAAATTAAGTATGCCCACGGGAATACCTCATTTGAAATAATTTCAAGTTTTGTCTGTTAGTGCAACAGTCTGTCATCTTGAGTGGTATTATATCGTTTAGCTTCAGTATTTTGTTTATTTCACTCCAATTATGTTAGTGTAAACGATTTTCAGGAACATGTTTCCACATCCTTTGTCCATTACTCCCTCTTCCTCTAATGATTTTGCTGGTTTGCTGTTATGTACCATTTTACATTCTTCCCCATCCCTATCACCTTATGTGCTGTGTGTGAGGAAGCTGCATGGAAATGTCTTCGGACAACACATGGGATATGGTATGGGACAAGGATTGGGAG